GTTGAAAATTTAATTGTCTTTCATGCTCTATTGAATCTGAAATTAGGTAATTGTAAAGCCTACTATAGCAAACAACTAAAAAAAATGACAAGTTAGATTCTTTAGATTAATGGATTTGGAGTAGTGTAGATCTACAGCTGGCTAGTCAGAGAAAAAAGGATGGCTGAGCAGAGACTTTGTAAATGAATTGATATAAGAGAGCTCCAGATGTGTAGGCTCACTGCGCGTGTTACCTGTCAACGAAGGATGCTTACTTCTTCTAGGCAACGGATCCCACCTCTTCAACTTTCAGGAGTCAGTTTTTCTTTTAAATCGATCATTGATCATTCTGTATTTTGATACAGATACTTCCGTTTAGAGATATTATGAACTACTATTTCTACGGGAAGACTGGCGAGTAAACAAGATTATCAAGCTTTATGAAATGTACTTTATTGACTTTTCAACAAGTAAATGTTCGAATAAAGTAAATGGTATATGAGAATCATTTAAAAGAAGTCTTGCACAATATGTCTAGATAAGGACATATAATGTGTATTTGCCATATACCAGAGAAGAAAACAAACGTTTCATTGTGGAGGTAATCCTATTGTTTCCATGAAAACGTTACAAAAAGTGTAAACCTTACAGATGTATTCGGTGTTTTTATAACAGCGTTTTTCAGGTATTACTTAACTTAATAAATGGTGTTTCTTTGGCAAGGAAAATAAAACTCGATCGAAAGATTTGCTGATGTTTTTGCAGTATGTAATAACCTTCAACCTGCTGTATAATCAACCGTATCGTTCAACTTTCAAAAATAAACTAACAGTTGCTATAAATCGCGATCGCACGATGTACATGTAATAAGGACCAAATTCTCAGTTCTTTGAAGTTATTGTTCTAAGTATTGTCAATGCTTTGGTAAATACTTAAATAAGAATTCGATATAATCGTTATAATAGCCACTCTTCATACACAGCATATTGTCAATCTCTCACCAGGGGGCGTATTACGCCAACAGTATACAAATCATCGGAAGTGCTTTGCTGAAGTTACCGTTGTCGATAGGTAGCGCCTTGTGTAAATTTCCGGTCTTGGTTGCAGAAGGATAAGGTTACGTGCCATAAAGCGATGTCGATAGGTAGCGCCTTATGGAAGTTTCCGGTTTTTTGGAGCCCATGCCATAAAGCGGTTAGCTAGCTAACCGCTTAAAAATCATATGATTGTCCAACTACAAATCATGGGAGATCCTATATATATCTCGAAGGTTTTCTAATGCATGCAAATGTAATAAAAACACAATCTAATTCTCAAGCTTATCTTAAGCTTTTATATTTTTATGACTTTCAAATTTATATTGCATCATTCAAATATTTGTATTCCAGATTAAAGTTTGAATCAAGTAGTACTTTGTTACATTGATTTATTGCTTGTAAATACACCTGAGACTGCAGACTTCCTTGAAGAAGGTTGAAGAAAGTTATCATAAATTCATGCATTCCAAACTCAATTTTGAACACGTATTAGATTCTGCATTAATTTAAGTCAATTTAAGTTGATTTTCAAGATTTTACGTTGAAGACGAATAAGGTTTCTTGGACATATGCAGTCTTCAATAATGATTATGGATTTTGATTTTGTTTTTAAACAATAAATCAGGAAAATAACTTTCTTTTGATTTGAATGTTAAATCATTGCAAAATTTTCATTATTATTTATTTGAATAACATGGTAATCAATATAAATCAATTTCACATTTCAAGCGTATCAACAAAAACTAAGATTGTCATCAGTTGTCTTAGCTTATCAGCATCGGCATTAAAAAGGTGAGTAATTTTCTTCGTTTTACAGTAAAGACAGCGCATTGTCAGTAATTTTCTAAGTTTGTGAGTAAAAAATAGGGAATGTCGGTACCTTTCTGACTTAGTAGTGAAGTGGTTGGTTGTTTGTATATTGTTTAACACCCTGCTCGGGAATTTATCACTCATATGGAGACGTCACCGTCTGCCGGAGAAGGGCTTCAAATTTTGACCTATACTCGGCACTTGAAGCCATTGAGCAGTGAGGGTTCTATAACGTGCCAACGTCTACCACTAGAATTCCGTTGCCAATATAATAACTAAGGTGCTTGCTAAACTATTTAAGAATATTCGCAGTTTACAGTTCAATAAAATGTATTAAATGCTCATTATACAGAATGTATTGGTAATGTATCGTTTCGGTGTGTAGAGGGGGTATGAAGGCATAAGTAATGGAATTCTTCAGATCCTTTCAATTGAAATAGCAACAATATGGCCATAACCTTAAAAATATACGTCAAATCAAACCTCGGTTAAAGTAGGAAAAATTATTAGTCTGAACACTTACCTATCCATGCAATGCTCTTGTATACCTGATTAGGCACACTACATGGAAGTGTAGTGGTCCTAGAGGTGTGTGACATCCCTAATCGAAGGCTTTCGAAATTTCCAGGGAAACACCATTACAAATTTAAATCGATTTTATTATCATTATTATCAGCTCATTATTAATATTACCTATATGAATTATCAAAAATATATTTCTGGTATTTGTTTAAAACGAAAAACATGTGACTGATAAGCATACTAGCAGGAATTGGAGTTAAATATTTAATTAATTATCAAATGGTATTTTTAAAGCTTGCGAAACTATAAAGTACAAGAAATAATACCTGAAGTGATCGACAAACAATTGGCGGCATAAATCGAAGGTTTTTACAAGGCTTGGATACGTTTCACTCTGCTCAATATGTTTTGATTTTCTCAAGCAGAGAGTTACAGTTCTCCAGCTTTCATTTGTCAAGCATATGTGTGAATTTTTTAACAATCCTATGCTCACTTACAATCTTAAAACGCTGAATATTTAATACACGGTTTGAGCTCCCTTTTCAGGAAAATTGCTTTTGATGGTACAATGTATCTCATAATACTTTATCACATTTTCAGATTTAAGATAGTTAAATTTTCCAGTATAAATAAGTATACTAAGAATTGTATAAACCCTAATACAGGTGTTATAGACTGGCTGAGAGAGCGCGTGGGAACTAGAGCTACAGTTCCTGATAGACTTTCATACTTTGCTCCTTTATGATGATGGAAAATGTGTACAACATCGACAATGATTTTCATATTGGTATTTACTTGGAATCTATCAGCAAGTTGTATGAGACTTAAATAGGACATTAAAAATTTTAAAAAGGAAAACAGTAATAAAGAAAATGAAATAATTCTACAGCAGTTACCGAGTTTACTTTCCATTCTCTGGCACAGCTGTTCTCTTTTTTACACTTGTATGGATAACATTTCTATAAATTTAATTTGAAATATCCCCAAAAACATTGACACATTTGTTGTCCTGTTTAAATGGTAGTTTTGTAATAACACTAGTGTAATCCATATTTTATTAAGGTCTTCCGTCTTCAGCGGAAGACCTTATTGTTTTTCTTAGGTTTCTTTTCCACTATTTTTCTTCTTCTTATTTTTTTTCTTACCGATTTTGTGCACGCGAGTTCTCGGAAACGGCTCAATGGATTTTCATGAAACTTTCAGGTCTGATAGAACATCAAAAAATCTAGAAATAAATTTTTTTATTTTGATGACGTCACTTCCGGTTCGGAGATTTTCGCAATTTTGTCATTTTTAGAGGGTCACTTTGTCCGGCAATGTTCTCAAAAACCGTTGAAGATAGAAGTATGAAATTTTCAGTGATGATAGATCAACCTTTGGAGAAGTGCACTGAGTATATCATTTTCACCGGAAGTAGGTAACGCCGACGCTCGCTATGGCCCGAAAATAGTCCTATCAAGAATTTCAAAATATTTAGCACCTTTTCTACGATAAATTTTTACCTAGAAATATTTTGTTAAAGCATGTAGAACAAAAAAGATGTAGAATATCAAGATCTACCAAATGACATCTCGAAAAAAGGGCTGGCCCCTTAAATTAGGGGCCTGGAGGGGCCGAAAGTTTTTCCTTTATATCTCAAAAAGTTTTGAGAATTTATGATACGTCAAAGAAGCAAAGTTGTTCAAAATGTCAAGCTTAATCTATTGGACTCGTCAAAATACGCCCGGCGTCGTCACTTCCGGCCAAACCGGAAGTAGTCGGAAAACGCGTATTTTTGCCGTTCTTGATAAGTTTTTTGGTAACATATGTCTCTGGGAGTGTTAAAATTAATTTTCCGTCCGTCGTCATCACTTCCGGTCAAACCGGAAATAGCAGTAAATGGCTTATTTTTGCATTAATTAACATGGATTGGGAGGATTCAAACCATTTTTGGGTGTTATTTCTCATTTTTGTTAAAAATGAAAGCTACTTCCGGTCAAACAGGACGGAAGACCTACTCGTTGCTTTGCAACGAGCTTTGCTCTAGTCGTTTATATAATTTAGTTGTAAAATCATAACATTCACATACTTTGACATTGCATTGATTAAATGTAAAGAAAAGTTACAATATTTCACCAAATTTATGTTTCAATGTTTTATTCAAATGTGAGATATATTTTACATAGTTGCATTTGAGGACTATTTTACGTTTTATGTAAGTTATTGGCTTTTAAAAAACATAGACGTATCAAATAGACATTAATAAGAAACAGTCCAAAATAAATTCATTAGAAAGGTTTATTATAAAGAAAAAAGTATTTCTTTCATGCAAATCACTTTTTACAACAATTTGCTCTTTTTCCATGATGTGGGTATATCTCTTTCTTAATTAAGCGATATTGAGCATTAAGATTAAAAAGTACAATGTCTTTGTGATAACTACAGTAATATTAAACTTATGACTACATAGAAAATGAAAATACCAAAGTTCTCACTTAATCTATACAATTCATTTTAACGTCCTCAACATAAAAATTTCGTTTGATATAGTAATGATAAGCATACAATAAGCATATAATAGAAAAACATAATGCTTACATGTAAATCATATGTTGTCAAACAAAATAAAACCTGTAATGATGATCAATTTTAAGCATTACAGTACATAGAATTTTATACTTGTGTGCTGTGAAAATACTTATAAACAGAAACGGTTGGACTGGCTAAACTCGCGATCATAAGAATTTGCTGATTGTTAATACAAAGAGCACAGGGAATTGGTGGGCATTGGTCTGGTGTGAGAAGGAAAGACAGAAACTGGCCATCCATATCCAGCAGATGGACACCAGAGCACTGGTTAGTAGAGTCTTCATAGCCATTACACACCACAATATGTCCCTGGGCATCTGTACAGATTCCACAGGGACGGAATCCAATCTGACGCGGGTGACCATAGTAAGAGAACCGGTACTCTCCTGTTCTGGTTACAACCACAACCTTACTGGCCAGGTAGTCAGATGTACAAATGTCACAGTTTATATTCTCTGTGATAAAGCGTGCACTTAGATAAAGATTTTGTCCTTTATCATTCAAATTGATATCTTGTAGCTTCGTCCATCCTTTGCTAAATCTGACTATTTTTGCAGTCACTTCCATGAAATTATTTTTCTCCATCCCCACCAATACGTGTTCATTGATATGAGAGGAGTAAATTGCCCCTGGTTTCCAGTTCCCTGTTCTGATTGCTAGTTTGTTGGAAAACATGTCACTACCCATCGTGTATATGGCATTAATATTGAAATCTGTGTAAAGTATCTGTCCCTCTGATGTGACTGAGTGCCTACCTCGAATACCATACATATTAGTTGATTTCTTCCATAAGATACTTCCTTTCATGTCAGACTGAATGAGGTTTCCCCAGTCATCACTGGCCAAGAATCTATCGGGTTCCAAAGCAGATAAATGTGCAATGTTTAAGTGTTCGATAGTTATTTCATTTACTTTTCTGATAGAGGAGGAATCTGTCATCTCTTCAGATGAATTCATATCACTGTCATAAAATTGTGTAACTGGTTCCCTTAATTTTGTATTCTTTGTGTCAATATTTATAATCTCTTATGACGAACACTGCGATAGAACTCAGAGGAAACCAAAGAGTGATATACAGATAGAGCAAAATCTGGTATTTGGTCCTTGAACGCCTATCTATACTCTGAAAAAAATGTGAGATTGTTAAGTGTAGCTAGGAAAACGGATCAGATGATTTTATTATAGTGTTAATAAAGACTTGCATATTTTGAAGTTTTTTATGTTTTAAAAAATGTGTCTCTTTTTAGAGTTTTAGAGATCTTTGATAATAACCGCCAGTCATTTGTTGTGCATGTTTATTGACAGGTGGAGGATAAAGATAACAAACAGTATTCAATATCAAAGTTCATAAAACAACAAAAAATAGAAGAAGAACAAACATGGACCTCAAAAACATTGGAAATGGCTTCATGTGCCATGGAGGAGGGAGCATTCCGAGCCGACCAGTTACACTCGTCGTGTATGTTCTCCTTATCATGATTGGGGAATAACTGGAAAAGCCGTTGTCAATTCAATGTATCAATAAACGTCATCATCATTTGACTCAACGATAAATTGTATTTGCTGACCAGGTTATTGTATCGACCATAGAACTAACTAAATAATGACTTTGAATAAGACTGCTGATATTTTTGTTTCATCAACTTGTTTGTCGATTATTTATCTCATTTAGAAATTGTACAAATGTAGAGCTTGCGTTTGTGTATCTCATCAACTGAGAGAGATTAACTCCGTATGCAGGTTAAAGAGGTAAACTGCTGCATATGTAAGGGAAATTGACGATTGAAAAGTTATAAAAAGGTCTATCATAGATCTAGAGCTTGTTAGATAAATGATCTTTAATTAACGTCTTTAAGGCATATTAAAATTATACGTTAATTCTATTTTATCTCTGTAGAAAATGAATACATTAAAACTCTGCGAGTTACAGTACCTGGCCATAAGTCTGTCATAAAAATGGCTGCTGAAATATCAAAATTCAGGAAGCCATTTTTTTTTCTTTAGCGCTGGTAAATAAATCGCTCTATGCAAGCTGCTGTTGAATAGTTCCTTTCTATAGAGTGTATACAATAATTCTATGACGTCATTTTATAAAAGTGACGCAATATCTGTCAAATATTTAGCAACTGACAAGATGGCTACTAAAGGTAAACAAATGTCTACCCCTATGAAAAATGCGATAATATTTATGTCTGAGAGTGGATACACCCAACAGGACATAGCAGCTATTCTTTCTGTGAGCCAGTCTGGGATTTCCAAGTTTCTCAAGCGATACAAGACGCGCGGATCCAGCGAAAATAAGCATCGAAGCGGTCGACCTAGAAAAACTGATGTACGAGGAGATCGTAAGATACTTCGATGTGTGAAACTCAACAGACGGCAAACTTTGGGTGAAATAACTGATGAAGTGAACTCGAAGTTACCAAGTTCTATCATATCACGGACGGTAAGAAGACGTTTGCGATTTTTAAACTTTACAAGAAGGAAAACCAGGAAGACCCTTACAATTCGATCTGTAAACCGCACCCGCCGTGTAAATTGGTGTCGAGGGAAATTACATTGGACAGTGAATAATAATTGGAAAAAGGTGATTTTCAGCGACGAAACCCAGGTTGTGATTGACCAGAATAAGCGCGTTTACATCTGGAGAAGACCCGACGAAGTATGGCGACCAGAGTGTCTTGGCGTCCGTGGAAACGGAAAGTACTCGGCGATGTTTTGGGGGTGTATTACTCACGAAGGAATCGGAACATTTACAGAGGTAGATGGGAATATTAATTCCCAAAAATACATTAACATTTTGGATACAAATTTATGGCCAGTTATTTTGCGCCATTTCCCGAATGGTGACTATTTATTTCAGGATGATAATGCACCGGTCCACTCCTCTAACGCAACAAAATCATGGAAAACTGAAAACGATATTAAATGTCTTATTTGGCCATCACAATCTCCAGATATCAATGTAATTGAAAACGTGTGGAGAACCATAAAAATACGTCTTCAGAGACAGGTACACAATATTCATAATCGTGAAGACCTCATCTTGAAAGTAAAGGAAATATGGTGGTCCTTGCCTCAGCACTACATTCAGAGTCTGTATGCTTCAATTCCAAGGCGAATTCGACAAGTTATTAAATCTAAGGGTCGTGCAACTAAATACTAGAGATAAAAAGGTAAGTGCTTAATATTTATAGAATTTTTTTTATTTTTGAATTTTGCGTTCACGTTGTTCACGTTACGTTACGTCAGCCATTTTATGACAGACTTATGGCCAGGTACTGTATTTCGTTTTGTCAAATTATCTAGACATATTGCCTATCCTATCTATTGTATACATCTGCACCGACTTTCGTATAGAGTAAAAACATAAAAAAGATAGTTTGAAAATTTAACAACATATCCTGTAAATATTGCAGATAAGAGGGCGACGCACTGCAAGCAATGTAAAGAAACTACAAAACTTGAGAATACGTTAGATATGAAGTTTAACCCAACACGCGTACACAAAAAACTACACTATTGTTGATAATGCAGCTAATGAAAATGAAAAAGATGAAAAAGGGTTTGTATTGCTATTGCTCGATGAAGTTATGTATTTTGAAAATTTGCTTCAAATTATTTACCTGAAAATGAAATGGAATGACAAAGTACGCAAACCTTTTGTAAAAAGGAATTATTCCTCCGTTTTCAATTTTTGTGATATCCTGTCAATCGTAATCCCTGACTTAAGTAGAACTGCGCCTTTTTATTTTATGTCTACCTTAAACAGATAACAAGCATTATCATCCTGTATATAAGGAAAGTATCTAACTGCATTGGATTGTTATAAAACATAATCTAGTACCTCAACCCTTCTTACGTTTTTTTTATTTTATGACTTTCAAACTTATATCGTCTCATTCAAATATTTGCATTTAGGATGAAGTTTGCATTAAGTGTTATTTTGTTACCTTGATTTATTGCTTGTAAATATACTTCTGAGACGGCCGACTTCCTTAAAGATAGGTATTAATCCAACACTGCTTGATAACTATAATTTCATGCGGAATTTTGGTGACATCTTATTTGATTCGGTTTTAAATCTAATTTGAAGACCCAATAAAAATTCCTAGACATATATGCTCGTTAATGATGATAAAGGTCTGATATACTAATCATGTGCCAAACTACCGATAAATCGAGAGGAAAGTATCTCTTGCTTTGAATGTTAAAAACATTGCAATATTGTCATTAACAATAAAAACATTGTAAAGAAAATCTAACTCGAGAAAGTGGAAATGTTTTTTTCTATAGGTAAAATGATAATCCTTTCAACAAGATACGTTACTCCTGCAAGCATTCATAATCTATAACTAAGTATTATTTTGGGTTGTTCCACGTTAGATCGTGAATATAATTATGTCATATTTTAAGATATGAAGATATAAATTGGAGCTTCGATTTGGGTTTTAAAATTTGTAATGTTGATATAGACCTTGAGACGTATACTGTACATGCACCAATATTATAAGTATATGGAGTGGGATATAATTGTCATCATACTTTTAAATAATTCAGGTTTGGCTGTAACAAATTATTAAATTGCATGGAAAATAGATTTTATGGTAAAACATGTTTGGGAAATTTTTGAAACTTGATCTAAAATTTATTTATTTTATTCAAAAAAAGAAGAAAAAAATCAAATCTGGAAAAACCCTGCAAAATTGTTTTGCTTGCTCAGCTCATGACATGATAATATTTTTTTGAAATAAAGTATTAAACATACGAGGGACGTTCAATAAGTAATGCCATTGGCTCGATGGCATACATCATAGTAGTCATATGGCATAAAGCTTGACTTTCTCTCATTATTCAATCTTTAATGAATTGATAACAGTTTGTGTGACCACTTTTCATCGCATTATTTCATCGTGAGAAGCTGGAAAACAAGAGCTATTTGAGAAACTGCATTAAAAATAAATGGTAAAGAATCAGTAAACTAGAGTAAAATTAAACGCTTCATTAAAGCAGCTGTAAAACTTTTCAGCATCCATAAATCTATTATTAACTGACTTTTATTGACTTTAATACCCATAGCAAAATTGATTAAAATCATTTTGGGGATAGTTCATACTGTTTTAAAGATACATTTTATTGTAAAAAAAGTTTAATACTCAAAGGTCACCCTATTTTGAAAAATGAGCGAAAACGACAGCGTGTAGGAATATCCAAACAATTATTTTCAAAAATCTAAATTTGTACTTATCCACGTTTGTATGAAATTCTAACAGATAATGAAACTTGAATCCATTTTGCTTAAGCCCTCAAAACAAATTTACAATAAGATGCATTTGACAAAACTGCAAAGGCCTAAGAAGAGCAAAGAAGTGCAGGAGCATAAAACAGTTTTATGTGCTATTTTCTTAAATATTAGCGGTCTTGTTCTTCAAATTCATCTCGGGGAGGAAGTTTTATTTTCTGGAGGAGTCTAGAAAACATTTTTTTTGCAAACAATTGAAAGGTTTATGAGAGGAAGGAAACAGTATGAGGAATTCACTATATTAAATGTCTTCATGACGGCGTCCAAAACCACAGGCATGAAGAGTAAAGGAGTTTTGGGGATAAACAGAAAGTTAATGTTTTGTCACACCAACAAATTTGCCAGATCTTTCAACTTTTGACTTGTTTAATTTCTTAACTTAGAAAAACAGCTATCAGAAAGAAAAAATTAAGTACACCAAATCATAGGATCTGCCATATACCAGTGTACTCAAAAATGTATCCGAAAAACAATTAAAAATTGAATGAAAATGTTACGGATATGTGTTTTAATTGAAAGAGAATATTTTAGTTAAATCATTAAGACTAAGTCATAAAAAAGCGTTTTTTTTGTTTCTTTCCGAGCCCCAATGACATTATTTATTGAACGCCCCTCGTAATGTTCATATCAGATAAAA